TATTTTCCGTTATGGTAAGCTAATCAGGTGCGAGAGCTAGCTTAGTTTCTGTGTTCTTCACTGCTGTTGTGCCGCATGCCTATTTTATTTGGTGCAGTTTTTTATACATTCAAATTACTTAGTGTACCTAAGTTAACAAAACTAGAAATGGCTTTAATCAACCTAAAGTGTCGAGTTGTGCAGTTGGTGACCTCCATTAAAGCTGAGCAGATTTCTCCTTCCATGGTAAACTAGTGATCTTAGGCAAGCAGATCTTGATCATCAGTTGACGTTTCCTGACTCACTGTGCTCAATTGCAGAAATTGGCGCTTAGCTATGAGGTACCTAGTTGGCTGCTTTCAGACTTCGACGATTCTAACGGCGCGCACGCTGGTGGGATCGTCGAAGTCTCGAAGCAGCCATTGAGCGAAACCGCATGCTGTTATCGTTAAACATTCGTCTGCGGTCTGTGAACCTGCCGCTACTAACTTGTTTTTACCTTTTACCCGAATCCAGTGCTTGAAGGAGGTTCCGAGGGTTTTCCATAGAGAAGTTTATAGTTTCCACGGGAATTTTCTTTATGAGAGTTATATACTGAGTTAAAAAAGTGGCTTTCTTTAAGACTAACAAAATAATTTTCCTAATCTAGTATTTCAAAAACTTCAGGTAATCACCTACAAACTGATCACGCCATCTGTTGTTTCTGAACGTCTGAAGGTTCGAGCGTCATTAGCCAAAGCAGGTCTTCGGGAACTTCAAGCCAAGGGGCTTGTGAAGTGCATCGTTCACCATGGAGGCCAAGTCGTTTACACTCGGGCCACCAAAGAGGCTGACGTGATTGTTGAGTAAATGTTGTTATTGTTGTGTTCGCGGTTTTTATTCATGAACATAATTTAAATGTACATTGTTGCACAAGCACATCAGAAACCTTGCTTATGGTTGAAGTATTTTTGGATTTTTGTTGTATTTTCTTACATTCTTATTCCTAAGTCGGGTCTTTTTGAGATGTTCGTATTCCGCGTTCTCAATGCGGTACCATACAGTAACGAAGCAGGTGCTAAGGATGTCATTGCGAGCTTACATTCCTTCTTGACTTGTAATCTGTTAGTCGGTCTCGCAGTGTTAGTATCATGGAAGCAGTTCGGTGGTAAACCGATTGAGTGTATGGTGCCGACGGACTTTACAAGTGCATGGGTTCAGGTAAGAGTTTGTTTTTGCGAGTTTCTTGAAGAGAGCTGGGAGCGGGTCATTGGGAGTACAATTTGAGAAGTTGGTAAGGTCTTTACTTTAGTATTTCGCAGTGGACTGGCAGGGTATTCTGAATTTGCAGCAACACTTGCCATAACTTCTAGAAGCAGTTGTTATCTACAAAAGACTGTAGATCTCATCTGCAGAAGGGTTGTTCAGTGCGCATTGTAGCATACCTTCATACCGATCCTGTCTTTTGAAAACCGGTAGTCGCGAGCTGTTTACAATGGTCACCAGGTCAAAAAAAATGCAAAATGCAAAAATGAAAAAAATGGTTTTATCGAAAGGGTAACCTGTCATTACACAGTAACCTAAACTGGTGAGTTGATTAATGGTTGAGCAACCTGCTCAAAGCTACCATCGGCGGCTGGATCACTCCCAAAGCCGGAATTTCTGTACCCATTCACTGCGTTCCCTAAGGCCATCTACGAATGGTTAGTTGAACTCCTCGGAGCTGAGGAGCTCAGTCTTTTTCACGATGAGCAGGTCCCTGGCAGCACCCTAGGCCACTTTTGCAGGTTGACCTGAAGTTTTTCCCGGCTCTGTGCTGTCAGAGCGATGTTATCAGCGCTGAGGAAGGTCTTGGAAAACCTAACGACTTCTCTGGGGATGGCATCCTGTATTAGTAGAAAGAGGAACGGTCTTAGGGCTGAACCCTGGTCTACTACTACTGTTACCTCTGTTGGTTCTGTTAGACCGTAAGAGGTTGCTGTTTGGTAAGGTAGACCATTTGCACATGTCCTTTATTAGGGAAATCAGGCCACATTACGCTTTTATTACCTGAAGAAATAGTGAATTTGTGGGTCTGCTTTTATTACCTGAAGAAACAGTGGTGCAGTGGGTATACAAAAAGAGTATATCTCCATCTGCAACATTCCCCTTTTTCCATTGTCATTACCCCTTTTTGACTCAGTTGGTTGGCTGTTTCGCTCAAATGGGGAAATTCATATGTAAGGACCGACTATTCAATATTTTTCTAACAGAAGATCTGATTTTGAGAGGGGATGGATTTACCCACTCCGTGATTGTACGTGCGAGAGGTTAATATGACAAACCAACCTACGAACTCCCCTCTCACCATTGAATAGTGGCTGACTTCTAATGAATTGCGGTGCGGTGATAAATGCTACAGTGTTCGCAGTAGCCGGTGCTTACAAAATCTGACGAGCGTGAAATTATACGAGGGAATCCGGTACAAGGACAGTATCGAAGGGCAAATATGCCATGCCAGTTCCGTGGTCCAGCTTGCAAAATATTGGTATGTTGAGTGAGCGCACTCGTGATCTAGTTACTCCTCCGGAGCGTAAACGAATTGATTTCCGTTCTTTGTGCAAGAGGAGATGATCCTGCTGCAAGTCGAGGAAGATTTGCCTTTGCTTCAAATCAACTGCAGTACTACACGATGTCAGAGTCAATGTCTTCGGCCATTTCTGGGATTCTGTTTTGAATGTCGAACGTATCAATTTCCGCCTGATGAAGATCATTGTCTTTTTCGAATGCCGACCGTATTACAATACCACATTTCCCCTGCGTACGCTCCGCAGAATGGCTGATTGAGCGAGTGAGGCGAGATTGTGGATTATTCTTGACGAGAACATGTCTGAAGTGCCACCACAAGATGCTGTTGTTGACCTCATCGTTGCAACGGCATGCGGTTACAGTTGTACGGTGGGTGCGGTTGTGGGTCACATCAAGCTGATGGTTAGTGGATTCATGGGTGCGACTTGACTAGCATGACGTCATCAACTTAAACACAAAGTTTCGTGAGTGTGACTCTCGTCTCATCACCTTCGACAGGGCAAAATCGGAACAGAAATGGATTTTGGTCTACTGAGGAAAGTGTTCCTGGCAAGAATCATGTGGTAGAAGGAATAAAGTGAAGGAAGTGCGGTCAGCATTGCTCGGAACTAGCTGCTACGATTGGGAGAGAACTTGAAAAACAGTAACCAAAATTGCTTGCTTTGAGCAACGTGCTACAGAGTCTAGCTGACAGAAAATCAGCAAACAGGCAAGGCTATGGAAGGATAGCAACAACAGGAAGATAAGCGAGAAGTAAAGGCTCTACCACGTTTTTCTTCTCAGAAGGGCGGTTGTTAACTCGCAGAAGTATGGGGAACTCGTCTTTTGCGAAATCTTTGATTGTGCAGTTCTGGAGTCTTTTTAGGAAAACCTGCAGCACGCTGTCCGTATTCTCTAAGTACATGAAGCGTGCATGCTCAACTTTGCCTATTTCCCAGATCCGAAAGGAGCAATGAAATTTGCGAAATTCTCAGTAGCAAATTTCCTTTTTTTGAAATGCGCTGAATGAAATCCTTCCATAGTTAATACGCTGGTAATGATTTTCAAGATGGAACTATTTTTCCGTTTTCAGTATGCAGAGAATTACTGTTGGTCCCACGACACATACTTTCTTCCTTTCTCTAAGCCTGCAGCTCGTATTTCCGATAGTTCTGACCGTAGCGAGGCTCAGGTTCTGTTTTTGTTTACATTTTTCTGTGGTTTGATTCCTCGCTATCTTTCCCTTCCCCGAAAAGTTCATAGTTGTTCAGATCTCGTACTACCAATGGATGCCGTTTTTCCTTCTCTTCGAAGCTGCTTGCTTTCGATTGCCATGTTTCATATG